CATAGATATTTTGGGGATCTTTGGCAGCGCTCCTCCTGTGAGGCTCTTCCGAAGGAGCCAGAGCTATTTTGGACGAGTCATAATTTATGGCTCCTCCAAAATGGATCAGGCTTCTCCGTTTTTCCCTGAAAAATGACTCCTCTCTACAAAACATTTGGTGGGGCTTCTCTGAAGGAGTCAGAGCCGAAACCGGGAAGGAGCCCTACCAAATAGACCGTTAGTCTAAATAACAATATAATGGCTTACTCCCTCCGTATCAAAATAAGTGTCGTTATGGTATTCGTGCAAATCAAACTTTCTCAAAATTGACTAGGCTTGTAGAAAATATTACCAATATTTGTATCTCCAAATAAGTTTATTATGAAAACAAATTCAACAATCAATATAATGATATTATTTATTTACAATAAGTATTGATATTTTCTTATATATATTTGGTTTATGCTAAAAACGTTTGAATTCTTGGAAAGCGAGAACAACACTTATTTTGGGATGAAGTATGGGGACACGTAAAAGCGATGTTTCCCTAACACAAAAAAGAATGCAACTCCCTCTATCCACAAAACGATACAGCTATGTTTCGCGTGCCAGTTAAAGTGGTTAGGTTTAACGAAATTTTTAGTGAATGATATTCACATTTATAGCTCCAAATTGATTTACTATGAAAATGCATTTCATAAGTAATCTAATGATATTTACTTGATATCATAAGTATTGATATTTTTATTTATAATTGTTCAAACTTAAGATACTAAAACATGTAGAATTACATTCTTTCTTTTTTTTCAAAATAAAATTACATTCACTACCGGACTCAGTGAATTTGCCGAGTGCCAGGGGCACTCGGCAAAGCCCAATTTGCACTCGGCAAAGGCTTTGCCGAGTGCTGCACTCGGCAAAGAGCACACGGCAAAAAAAGAGTCGGCAAAGACGACTTTGCCGAGTGTCTTTTATCGGGCACTCGGCAAAGCCTTTGCCGAGTGCCGACACTCGGCAAAGTTGGAACCGAAAAAAAACCCGAAAAAAATGGGAATTTTTACCCAAAAAAAATGGAAATTTTTTTTTTAATTGGTGGAGGCCCCCACCGGTCAGCGCCCATCCATCTCCAGCTTTTTTCGTGTAAATTTCACGGCTACGCGGCCGACGGGATTCGAACCCAAGACCTCTCGCTGCGCACAAATCTCCTCTACCACTACACCACACTGTCACTTGTGTCTAGATTCCGTTTTAGTTCCCAATATATTATACTAAACCGAGTGTAAATTGCTTATTTGAGGCCCTAAATGAATTCAAATCAAAAAGTGGTCAACTACAAAGTTTCATAACTTTTTGAGATCTACAATTTTCATTTAGTAAGTTTTTCCATCCGAGGTCGTTTGAAAAATTTGAATTTTAAATTTGAGAGATTCAAACGTAGTTTTGCATGATAAGATGATTTCAAATCAAAAAGTTGTCAACTACATAGTTTCATAACTTTTGGAGATCTACAATTTTCATTTAGGAAGTTTTTTCATCCGAGGTCGTTTGAAAAATTCAAATTTTCAAATTCAAACGTCGTTTTTGCATGAAAAATGATTTCAAATCAAAATGTTGCCAACTACAAAATTTCATAACTTCTCAAGATCTACAAAGTTTATTTTGCTCATTTGTTCATCCGACATAGTGGTAGTAATATTGTTCACAAACCATATATATCTCTCTTCTATTTTCATGAAATTAATATGAGAGATGTATATTTTATGAACAACGTTATTGTCGCTTTGTCAAATAAAGAAATGACCAAAATAAACTTTGTAGATCTTGAGAAGTTATACAACTTTGTAGTTGAAACGTTTTTCATTTGAATTCATTTAGGGCCTCAAAAATTGATTCGAAAAACTGATTTGCCGAGGACCAAAAAAATACACACGGCAAAATACCCCTTTGCCGAGTGCCAAAACATAGGCACTCGGCAAAATACGGCTTTGCCGAGTGCTAGAAAAAAAGCACTCGGCAAACTAAGAGTAAATTGCTTGTTTGTGGCCCTAAATGAATTCAAATCAAAAAGTGGTCAACTATAAAGTTTCATAACTTTTTGGGATCTACAATTTTCATTTAGTAAGTTTTTCCATCCGAGGTCGTTTGAAAATTTTGAATTTTAAATTTGAGAGATTCAAACATAGTTTTGCATGATAAGATGATTTCAAATCAAAAAGTTGTCAACTACATAGTTTCATAACTTTTGGAGATCTACAATTTTCATTTAGGAAGTTTTTTCATCCGAGGTCGTTTGAAAAATTCAAATTTTCAAATTTTCAAATTCAAACGTCGTTTTTGCATGACAAGATGATTTCAAATCAAAATGTTGCCAACTACAAAATTTCATAACTTCTCAAGATCTACAAAGTTTATTTTGGTCATTTGTTCATCCGACATAGTGGTAGTAACATTGTTCACAAATCTTATATATCTCTCTTCTATTTTCATGAAATTAATATGAGAGATGTATATTTTATGAACAACGTTATTGTCGCTTTGTCAAATAAAGAAATGACCAAAATAAACTTTGTAGATCTTGAGAAGTTATACAACTTTGTAGTTGAAAAGTTTTTCATTTGAATTCATTTAGGGCCTCAAAAATTGATTCGAAAAACTGATTTGCCGAGGGCCAAAAAAATACACACGGCAAAATACCCCTTTGCCGAGTGCAAAAACATAGGCACTCGGCAAAATACGGCTTTGCCGAGTGCTAGCAAAAAAGCACTCGGCAAACTGAGAGTAAATTGCTTGTTTGAGGCCCTAAATGAATTCAAATCAAAAAGTGGTCAACTATAAAGTTTCATAACTTTTTGAGATCTACAATTTTCATTTAGTAAGTTTTTCCATCCGAGGTCGTTTGAAAATTTTGAATTTTAAATTTGAGAGATTCAAACATAGTTTTGCATGATAAGATGATTTCAAATCAAAAAGTTGTCAACTACATAGTTTCATAACTTTTGGAGATCTACAATTTTCATTTAGGAAGTTTTTTCATCCGAGGTCGTTTGAAAAATTTAAATTATAAAATTTTCAAATTCAAACGTCGTTTTTGCATGACAAGATGATTTCAAATCAAAATGTTGCCAACTACAAAATTTCATAACTTATCAAGATCTACAAAGTTTATTTTGGTCATTTGTTCATCCGACATAGTGGTAGTAACATTGTTCACAAATCTTATATATGTATCTTCTACTTTCATGAAACTAATATGAGAGATATGAGAGATGTAGATTTTATGAACAACGTTATTGTCGCTTTGTCAAATGAAGAAATGACCAAAATAAACTTTGTAGATCTTGAGAAGTTATACAACTTTGTAGTTGAAAAGTTTTTCATTTGAATTCATTGAGGGCCTCAAAATTGCTTCGAAAAATGATTTGCCGAGGGCAAAAAAATGCACGCTGCAAAAAAAGTTCTTTGCCGAAAGTGCCAAAACAAAGGCACTTTCGGCAAAATACATCTTTGCCGAGTGCCAGAAAAAAACACTCGGCAAAGACGTATTTTGCCGTGTGTTTTTGTTTGCCGAGTGTATTTTATTTGGCACTCGGCAAACACGGTCTTTGCCGAGTGCCCAATAAAATACACTCGGCAAAGCCTCGGCACTCGGCAAATCGCCGGTTTCCGGTAGTGATTCATGTAGGACAGAGGGAGTAGATAGTTTTTTTTCTCCCGTCCGTGTCAAATAAAACTACTCCCTCCGTCCAAGAGTGGAGGATAGATAGATTCGATGGATAAGGGTAAGGTCAACAGTTAAAAATGATGTTTATGTATATATATGGCCAATGGTTTATATATAATCCCTGACAATTAAAATTTCCATCATTAATTAAATCCATTTCCCAATGGGTAAAACAAAATCGTCAAGGAAAAATAGTAACGTTGGCCAATGAGGAAATCCGTGACCAAAAGTGGCCGACAGTAACTTGCTGACGTTATATGTGCTTAGCAATTATCTTTGCTGACTGTAGAAAGTAATGCTTGATGGTTTAAAAACCGTTGGCCATTCTTACGGTTCTAGTTATGATAGGCATATTTGTTAATTATTTGGGGTGGCTGTATATTAAAGGGCTTAGTGCTTAGCTTTTGCTATATATATGAGGTTGTGCTTTTTTGCTCAAAAGCTTGTTTTGCTATTTGGTAGTTTTTTGCTTTACAGGGGATAGTGAAAATTGTGATTTTGTTTGGGTCAGTGCTCAAGACTATTCCTTTTTATCAAAAAATAAACCAAGCAATCAAAGTGCCCTTCTCAGTGCAATAAGACAACAAGCTACACAGCTTCGCCAAAATTTTAATTTAGTACCGATTCTTGCACTTACATTTACACCACTCCATATCCATATATCCCAGGATGGCAAGGAAAGACATCTTGTCAGGCAATGTAACTCTGAACTAAACATAGACAATGTTTGTATCCACTCCACAGTCCACTGGCTGAGAAATTTTAGATGTGGGCAAAATCCAGGTAGAATAGAAGGCTAACATGAAGGAGTAGAATAGAGACGGTGACGACCAAAGACTACAGGCCGCTTCAGTACATGCGCAAGCGCCTTTTATTCGGTGGAGCAGCAACCACAAATAAACGATACATTTGTTTCAAATTATAAGTCGCTTTTATTTTTTTTGATTCATTCAATTTTTTTTATGTATATAGATATTTTATTTATCTAGTTGTATACCAAAATAGACATACCAATAATTTGAAACTGAGGAAGTACATTAATTTCGCCGTATGACGAAAGGCGACAATTATTACCGCAGATTATTACACACCACGGTACAGGGTGGCCACATGCTCCGATGATACTACATAAATATTGAAATATACATGAAGATTATCACGGCATATTCCTTCATCGCTGCGTACGCACAGGTACATAGTGGTATGTATGGATGCACGTAAGTACATGCAGATTACAGTAGTAGATATAGTATTGCTACATGCCCACGCATGTATACTGCTTTTCGCCTTACGTCGCCGGCTACTGGAATTCGTCAACGGCGGCCTTGGATCCCTTCTGACGCCCGGTCCTGAAGTAGTTCGCGGCGTCCTTGTTGAACTTGTCGCGGGAGATGTGCTCGCCACCGGAGCCCGGCCCCTTCATCGTCTTCCTCGGCCTGGCCGTCGTATCATCTGCCGCTTGCTCGTCGTCCCCGACCGAGGACAGCAGCAAGAAGGCACCGGCGGCAACCGCGGCGGCGACCCCGAGGATGCGGCGGCCAACCCAAGGCTCTTCGCTTTTCTCCTTCTCCTTCTTCTCCATTTCGCTGAGTGAAGAAGAGAGATAGATAAGTGGTTATGCCTGTGAAAGAGGATTTGACGCCGTGTGGGCAGTTTTTGTACTGGTAGCAGGGTGCGAGGGGACCCACCAGCCACCATTTTTGCACAGTGGCATAGACAGTTGATTGATGTTTTGAAGAAAACAGGAGGGGCACGCCCCTACTGACAGTTGATTGATTGATGTCGGCGACAGTATTCATTGTCATTTATAGACACTACAAAAGACACATTGTCTAAAAAACAGTCTAATGGCTTATAGCGACACATAAAAGACGATGTTTCCATGACAGAGAAACGTTATATATATCTTTAATATAAGACTAGGTAGCGTGTTCGTACGTTGTTACGGAATAACTAATAATTTATACTAAAAACATACGGATCGTACGATAAGATAATAATACTGTTAAATTAAATGACAACGTTAAAGTGACATTTAATAAAAAGCAAAGTTTATGAATTTAACACAGTCACGGAGTGCGCGGCGTCGCAGGCTCACAAACTCTAGAGCTTCCAGAGATTGGGTCGAATCCAACCTAGAACCTCGGAACCCTGCATCTTTTTCTGGATGGGCTTCACTTCGGATGCGCCAGTAGCAATATCAACGATCTCCAGTCGATGAACGTATGGATCCCCATAAAATGGCCCAGACATGTAGATTTTGTTCTCCTTGTATTTGGATACACTTGTTTCACTGAAGCTTTCATTGAAATATTTAGATACGAACAATGTCTGATCACCGATGTCCCTCACCCTGGACCACTCCGGCGTACGGTCGTGGAGGTTGCACTGGTAGATCGCGCTGCTATAGGTGAAGCTCTGTGTCTCGTGAAACGTGCTCACTATGGCACCCATAATGTGCAGCTCACCGTTTGATTCCAGGTAGCTGCGGTGGCAGAGCCCCGCAGGTGGCGACAGCGATGGCAGCAGTGTCACGGTTGGAGTAGCGCCGCCGGCGTTGCTGCTGCAGACGGAGATTTCTCCAGTGCAGTCGATCGCCAAGAACTTGTCTTGGCAGTGGACGATGGACCCATGGAGAACTCCAGTTTGGTGTCGAGCAACGTCCATGCGCTGTCGACTCCAACCCGGCAAAACGCGACCTCCGTGGAGCACCCAAGCATGGCCATGGCCACACACTCGCGGCCGGTGGCATCAGGCGGTGCCGAGAGCACGATCTCACGGAAGAACACGTCCCTCATGTCTTCTAGCTTGATGGCTGTGCCTGTGGCATCCGCGTCCCCGTAGCCGTTGGTGGGATGGAGGACCCACCAGCCATGGACCCTAGACACGCGTTTCGATGAGGACGCCGCCGCGACGTGTTCGTCTGCTGGTGGGACCTCAACGCGGGGGGCACGGGCACCAGCGAATGGATTCAGCAGCGTCACGGACGCCGCCTCGTCCATGAGCGCCAGCCACCCACACGAGGAGCCGCATGCCACCTTGCCGCGGATGTCGGGCAGTGTCTTGGACAAGACCTTCTTCTCCGGGACGCAGTAGAAGCCGACGCGGTCTGAGTCGGGGTCGAACAAGAGAAGCAGGAGCGGCCCGAAGGTCGCGAACGGGATGGCGGCGCGCCATGCGGAGCAAGCGGATCGGAAGGACGCCACGTCGTGGCCTAACGCGAGACGCTGCCTGATGGACTCGAGGAGATCCTCTGGCAGGCCGGATCTCCAGTCAGGGATTGGTAGGGACCTTCTCTTGGTGTTGGTAGGCTGAGCCATGGAAGACCGATGACATCAACTATGGTTCACGCAAGAAACAGCAAGCGAGGCGATGGAACACGTGAGCGTGAAACCAAATGAAAGGAGGAAAAAGCTGTCCCTTTTACAAATGCAAAGAGGTGAAGTAATTAAATGTAGGCAGATTTGGCAAGGTTCTCAAAAATGCAAAGATGTTTCTTTTGTCTTAATTCTCTTTCCTTTTGCTCGTTGCCATGTATGCTGGTGCATGCAAACATGCAATGTGTATATGGATAGCACAATAATTTTCTACTTCCTATTTTGCCGTGATTTCTCTATCACATGACAGGCAATATTCAATCAAGGAGAATGGCACGATCAATCAGAAACTAAGATGTCGTGGGATCGCAGGCGCGGGCAGATGGACGAACCAAAACAAATGTCGCACAAAAAAATGTCCACACTTTGTTCTTTTTAGTTGTAGTAGGAGATGAGTTGGCCCCATGCTTCTAGTTATTCAGTAGATTGTTTCTAGTTAATCACTACATGTCTTCATTTCTAGTAAACTGACGTCATCACCATACATGCACCTTGATGGATTTTCTTTGTGGCGGACCCAGCATGACTCCACCCTCCACTACCTAATTTCTTGGCAAAGATGCCATGGCACATTAGTCGTGCCAGGAGGCAATGGAGTGAGGAACTTTTCTTTTTAATTTCTCAGCATCCACGGTGGTACAATTATGCGCCTAATAAATCTGGCATAGGTGCGTAGGTCCGTGCACTCACTAAAAGACAGTCTCCACGCACCCTCCCACTTGACTAGTTCTTCATCCCCTACATCAATCCACTTTTATATAGAAGATTTTTAATCATGGTCAAAATTGATATATAAGAGCATCCACAAGAGTTTCTCTCTAAATCATCATTTAGAAAGTCATTTTAACAAAAATAGTTCTATACATTCCGCCCTTCAATAACTTCTATATGTCTTGTGTGCACTTTAGAGAGTCGGTTGCGCTCTCTATATTTGACTAGCGAGAAATCCACTATATTTGGAGATCATATAAAAGAAGCTATTGGAGGGTCTTTTTCATAAAAATCTATATTGCTATTAATTAGGAATGATATAAAGAGTCTAATGGAGTTGCTCGATCTAAAGGCGGTTTCTCCAACCTTCTCTATTCAAGTGCATCTAGAAATTAATAATTTCTAGAGGCGGATATGCAACATACTCTAAAATTCGATTTTCAATGATGCTTTCTTTTTCTAGATGTGTTGCTTCAGCAAAATTCTACTGTAGAGATGCTTCCACGGGGCTCCATCTAAATCAATTTCTCCATGGGACATAACTATAGCCCGAGGAGGAGAAGGGAGGACCTCACAATAGCAATCCAAAAATTCCAAAACTAAGTGGGGATTGCTCTCGATTTCCTTGAAGGAGGTGACTTCACAGCATCTCCAATAGTTCCCAAAGCAACAATTTGTAAATCAATGAGTTTTCCAAGTGGCTAAAAAAAGGCTGGAAGCACATTTGTTGAGCTCCTCCAATTGTTTCTAAAATCTCACTCTTAAAATATAGAAAGCAATTTTGCATCAGAAATCCTGGAATATTTTTAAATCACCCTAACCACTTTTATACTTTCTGTCTCTCATGTACATTTGCTTTAGGAATCCTTTTCTACTCCTTATTATTTTCCACATCCTTCCATCTCTAGATTGACCGAAGGATACGCGCGCCTGTATTTACACGTGATTGGGTCAATTTTCCCAAGTGCGGAATGATTGGGAGTTAATATATGGATTCGTTGGAGAGCAGTTTTTTTCCGATGTTGCCAAAAAATCAAGATTTTGAGTAGGTTTTGGAAACTCTTGGAGATGCTATTAGAAGTTAGGTCAATGTGATTCCAAACATCTTTTTTGAAAAATGTAGTGCTAGATTACTTGCTTAATTAAGTTTTTGTTGTTTCTCCCTGTCCTACATGCTTGCGACAATTAGACATAAAATTAGATCAAATCATTGGAATCCCTACGCTTGAACTTTATGGTCAACTAATTATTTAGCCACCACGTCTTGAACTTTACGGTCAACAAGTTATTCTCACTACTACAATAACACTTAACCGAGGCATTTGGCAAAGGGGCACGGAGGCGGGTAGGCATTTGAACCACCTCGGTTAATGCCTAAGATTAACCGAGGCGGTCATTATTTGTTAACTGAGGCGGTTACAATCAACCCCTTGCAAAATCAATTTACGGAGGCGGTCTAAACATAAATGCCTCCTAAAATCTATTAATGGAGGTGGGCCTTATTAGTGGCCCACCTCAAAAAATACCCCATTTTCTGAGGAGGGCCTCTTATAAGGTCCGCCTCGGTTAGTACTCCCATTGCCTAGAAAAAGCCCATATCCAATCCAACTATCGGGTTTATATATACAGGAGGGGAGTTAGGGTTCACTCACTTCTCCCTCACTTACCCATCTCTCACTCGTCCCCTCCCGTCCCCATCCTGACGCTCCCTCCTGTCCCCAGCCCGACGCTCCCTTCCATCCCCTCTCGTCTCCAGCCTGACGCTCCCTCCCATCCCCTTCCTTAGAGCGCCCCCTCCCCTCCCCTCCCCTCCCCTCTCGATGTCCCTCCCCATCCCGCTTGCACCCCGGAGGCGGACGGCAGGCTCCGGCGGCGCACACAGCAAACTCTAGGCCAGGATGGGCACGGGAGGTACGGCGCTCCGGTGGCGGTGACACATAAAAGACGATGTTTCCGTGACAGAGAAACGTTATATATATCTTTAATATAAGAAGACTTGGCCCCATGCTTCTAGTTAATCAGTAGATTGCTTCTAGTTAATCAGTACATGTCATCATTTCTAGTAAACTGACGTCATCACCATACATGCACTTTGATGATGGATTTTCTTTGTGGCGGACCCAGCATGACCCCTCCCTCCACTACCTAATTTCATGGCAAAGAAGCCATGGCACATTAGTCGTGCCAGGAGCCAATGGAGTGAGGAACTTTTCTTTTTAATTTCTTAGCATCCACGGGGGTACAATTATGCACCTAATAAATCTGGCGTAGGTCAGTCCTAGGTCCGTGCACTCACTAAAAGACAGTCTCCACTTGACTAGTTCTTCATCCCCTACATCAATCCAGTTCTATATAGAAGATTTTTAATCATGGTCAAAATTGATATATAAGAGCATCCACAAGAGCTTCTCTCTAAATCATCATTTAGAAAGTCATTTTAACAAAAATAGTTCTATACATTCTGCCCATCAATAACTTCTATATGTCTTGTGTC